CCGCTGCCGCTCGGGCTTGCTGTCCTGGCCGGGCTCTCAGGGATCGCAGCCCAGGAAGGTAGGGGCAATGCCGGGGGACAGGAGTTGGCATGGGGTGGGGCAGGTCCGAGGGGGGTGTGGCAGCAGGTCTTGGAGCCCTCCACTTCATGCCAGAGCCTGGTCAGCGGGGCTGGGGGGTGCTGGGGTGAAGCTGGGCTCAGCAGAGGGGACATCAGGGATGCAGAATCAGCTGGGGCGGATGGAGGAAAGCTCAGAAGCAGTCAGAGGGGGCTGCAGGACACCCCAGCCTCCCACTGCGTCCCCTCTGTCATCCCCCAGACCTGTACCGAAAGGTGTTCATCTTCCGGAAGGACCCCAGCGATGCCTACGTGGTGCTGAGGGCCAAGCTTGAGCAGCCACTGCAGAACTTCACGGTGTGCCTGAGGTCCTACACTGACCTGACCCGGCCCCACAGCCTCTTCTCCTACGCCACCAAGGCGCAGGACAACGAGATCCTCCTCTTCAAGCCTAAACCTGGCGAGTACCGGCTCTACGTGGGGGGCAAGTTCGTCACCTTCCGTGTCCCTGAGGGCCACGGGGACTGGGAACATGTCTGTGCTAGCTGGGAGTCGGCCACTGGCATCGCCGAGTTTTGGCTCAATGGGAAGCCCTGGCCCAGCAAGGGGCTGCAGAGGGGCTACACAGTGGGGGCAGAGGCAGCCATCCTGCTGGGGCAGGAGCAGGATGCCTTTGGGGGCGGCTTCGATGTCTACAACTCCTTCTCCGGTGAGCTGGCTGATGTCTACCTGTGGGACACGGGGCTGTCCCCAGATAAGATGCGAGCTGCCTACCAGTCCCTGCGCCTGCCACCTGCCATCCTGGCCTGGAAGAGCCTGATCTACGAGGTGAAGGGCGATGTGGTGGTGAAAGCCCGGCTCCGGGAGATGCTGGGGCCGTGAGAGCCAGCTGGATCCAGGGCTGGGGTGGCCTCAGCCCCTGCTCTCCCCTCTCTGTCCCCATTACCCCTTTGCCTCTACAACCCGCCAAGAAGAATGTGTTGTCTGCGTGCCCCAGATGGGGAGCCCCAGATGGGAGGGGGCTCAGATGGAGCTGGGAAGGGGGGGGCCTGGGGGCACCACTCAACCTGGCAGGGTCCCTCTGAGCGCCAGAACCTGTCACCAACCCCTCACCGGCACCTGGGGCACCCATTCCCTTCCCCGCACCCCCCTGAGCCCCACAGCTGGCTCCCACATGGGCAGGATGCAGGTCCACTGCCTCCAGCACTGCCCAACCGCACACTGAATGGCAGAAGGAACTAGAGACAGGCAGGCAGGGGCTGGGGGCACCTTGGGGACATGACACTCACCCCCAGTGCCCATCCCCACTCATGCCCGCTGTGCCCAGGCTCCTTGCCAGCCCGCTGGGTCTGCAGGCTCCTGGGCAGGCAAACTAGCCCCAGGCCCCTCACCAAATTGCAAACAGCCCTGCAGGTTAATGCCCCCAGGCACCTGGGGACGAAAGTCATGGGTGAATGTCACCGCTGCGTAGCCACGCTCACGCTGGCACAGACCCTGAGCAGCCCCAGGGCCGTGGCACGGTGGCTCTGCAGTTCCCCCTCACCACTGAGGTGCCAGCGGCCGGGCTTGGCAGTGCCATGGGGCAGCTTTGGCTCTTCCTCCTCGCCCTCGTGGTGCTCTTCAGCCTCGCTGCCCCACGGTAGGGGCAATCAGGCTGCGCCGGGACCCCCTCCATGTCCCATGGAGAGAGTGAGCACATCTGTATCAGCTGGGAGTCCACCACTGGCATCGTGGGCTTTTGGCTGCAGAGGGGCTACATGGTGAGGATTAAGGTGGCCGTCGTGTTGTGGGGCAGAAGCAGGAGGCCTTCAGGGGCAGCTGTGATGCAAGGCAGTCCTTCGTGGGGGAGATCTCAGCCGTGTAAATGGGGCACGGGGATCTGCACCTCAGGGGTGACGGCAGCCGTGCACAACAGCCCCGACGAAGCCCCCGTCTTCAGCTGGAGAAACTTCCCCTACAAAATGGTGGGCGAGGGGCACCTGAAGCCCTGACGCGTGGTGCTTGGCGCGGGTCTGGTCTACTCATGTGCTCTCGCTCGTGGTGGCCGACAAGCGCTGGGCAGGCCCTGACTGCCATGGGGGCTGTGCCCCCCCCTTCCCTGCTGTGTAACCCCCCCCCCAAAGCCACCTGGCATCACTTAAATGAAGAGATGGGTTTGAAAACAGCAATGGTCTTTGCTGGGCAAATTGATGCCATCAAAGCTCAGCGTGGCTCCTGGGATTAATCCGGGCTCAGACAGCTCGTTAGGGCGGGGGTCGGCGCGACAGGAGGAAGGGGGCTCAGCCGGGGAAG